CCCTCCTTTCCCCCAAACCCAACAGCGGATGAATTTGCTCATCAACGACGAATTGATCAACCCATTCTTCTACAAATCTCGATGACTCATTAAATAAAAGAGCAAGATGACTCATTAACCATTCGATATATTAACTCTATCCGTACGTCGTGTTTTATTATTGTATCCATACGACGTGGGGAACTCTGTGCCACCACTTTCCAAAGAGGAAATTTACTCGTTAATCCAATCCGTACGCTTTGCATAGTAGTCTGTCAAAATGGGTTTTTTAAAATTAATACTGAAAGTTTTAAAGAGATTTTCGTACTAGAAGTATTCTAAAATGTGAAGAATACAACCCCGGGGGTACAAAATGACCCCAGGCCGTACGGATAGGGTTAACCATTTGATAAATTAAGTCACACACCAGCCCATTAATGAAAATGAAAATTGAACTATCACGCTACTCATCGTTGAACCAATCTATCAATTAGTGAATTGCTTAATCTATCAGTCAACCAATAAATCGTGAAACCGATTGACCATTTAACGATCAGTCAGTCCGTTCATTCAGCAGCCAGAAAACCGATCACTTAATCAATCAACCAACTGATCAACCAAGAAGCAAGTTAATCAATCAATTGCCTCATCAGTCACTTTTGTTTTGTTTTTTGTAAGTGTTTTACGGCGCTCGCAACTGCATGAGGTAATATCAGCGCGCGGGACACATTAAACTTTTTCAGTTGGTAGGAAATTTTGAATTTTGCCCGGATGGCGACCGAGGCCTACTCTTATCGATCTTAGACCACCAAGGGATCTTTAAAGTGCGCAACTTGCACACGGGCCCTTCGAGATTTTTCGCCCGTGTCCGAGAAGGCTAGGTGTAGATCTTTCCTACCAGCAGATAAGGGGGGTGGCTGAAAGACAGCAGTAAGAAGGAGCCAAGGAGATGCAGTAGAAAGGCTGTAGAAAGAGTCAGGAGCCCAGAGGAGGGGGCAAAGGAGGTAAGGGGGTGGGGGCAGAAAGAGGAGACGAAAGCAGACAACAGAACATTGTCAGAGAGCAGGAAATGAGGTGAAAGGAAACAGTTTTAGAGAAGAAAAAAGTTTCGGTCTCTACCCGGATTCGAACCCGGGACCTCTAGGCCACGAGAACCCCATACCTCACCAGTCAGACAAAACTACGTGCGTATTTACAGCCCCGGTTACACGCAGCGACAAAATGTATCAGATTCGTCGTATGCGAGAACTGTCCGTTTTATCGAACTGTGTTGTCTGTTTACACGTTCCAATCTTTCGTCCAGTTTTCTTTCGATCGAGGAGATTCCTCGTCATAAAGCCACCATGTCTCTTAGCGACGACAGCGATTTGCCTGCACTCTAGGTAAAGGTTTCGAGCTCGGGACCTCATGAATGAAAGGCGAGCACCGTAGCCCCCCCCCCCCCCCCCCCCTGTACATTTTGATATAGCAGAACAGTGTCTTGAGAAAAGTGAGGCCATACTGTACCGTGTTGTGAGTAGGAAGAGCAGCTTTGACCTGGCTGAAGATGTGCAACGCACCGAGTGACATTGATGCTCTTCACCATTGACGATCAATTAATTAATACGGTGATAAAATTACTAAAAGTTACATAATTTCGCACCAAATCAGGTTCTTCGTGAACTTCGTAACTTACTTTAAGACGCGGATTCCGAAAATGAAATAAGTTTTAAGATGCGACAATCATTGTTAAAGTTTTGCTTCATAAGTTTAACCCTGCGCGGCGGCAGATTTCGAAGTGATTCTACGTCACAGCGCGTCTCCCCCAAATCTGACCGTGATCTCACGGAAAATATCAAGCAGCGCTTGGTTTCTCGACCGAGTCTCCAAGTGATCGGCCAATCGTCCAAATTTTGTACAATTTTGTGGTTACACCTAACGATTTATCGTATGATGGCTAGATCGTCCAGTTTTTGTACAATTCATCGTTACGTGTAACTAGGCCATACTTTTGATGTAACGATAGATCGTTGACCTCTTCCCCAGTGACAGAGTGGTGACGACACTGCAGGAAGATCTCGAGAGTGAAATGCGGCTGGGATTTCCTAGCCACACGATACTGGAGCGGATAGAAGAGATCGTGGGTATCACAATGTGGGAATGCTTCTATTAGTTTTAGTATAGGTTTTACGGCGTTCCCAACTGCATACGGTCATAATTATGAGCGCCAGAAGATTAGAGGTGTAACAAGAGAGTAACAAACATAAAAAAGAAGACGGGGAAATAGGAAAGAAGAAACAAACCACACCAGAGCAACCGCCAACCACCCACTTACTGCATTTAAAGAAGCTGAGATCGTTTCAGAATCATGCTGCCATGTCTGCTAGGGCAATAATATAGACTGTAAAGTGCATACAACTTTGGTTGAGTGGCAATTTGTGAAATACAAAATGTTTTTGGTTTTTATTTATCCATTTTTAAAATGTATTTACCTTTCTTTTTCTTTATTATTTTTCTTTCTTTCTTTCTTCATTCATTAGTAGTAGTAGTAGTAGTAGTAGTAGTAGTAGTAGTAGTAGTAGTAGTAGTA